TCTTTTTCAGTTTTGTTGTCGTTGATAGGTGTAGCGAAGTCTGGGGTATCAAGTTGTTGTTTCTTAGTTGCTCTTTCATTTGTAGGCGAGCCAGAACGGCCGCGTTGAGCTTTTTTGCTCGGGTTATTGTTAAAACTTTTTGGTGTTTTTCATTGCTGAGGCATGGTCGGGCGGATCAGCAGAAAGAGTTTTTTCTATTATTAAACCCGATTTGTTACTATTTAATATATAGTTATAAATTTTTTAAAATAAGTATAAAATCGGGTTGAAACCTGATTTATGTAATTCTACCTAATAATTATGATTATGGTATTAACCGATTCATACCCAATTATAGTATCTACTGATTTCTATCTATTGATTGCTAATCAAAAAATAGTGACTAATAGGGAAGGTACCCGATTTATCAGCATTCAACCTGTGAACAAATCACTGTCTTGTGTGTTTAGGTGTATTCTAAAGTAATTGGTCAGTAGTGTGATGCCTACCAATTTTCTAAATAGCATCACCATTTCCCTCTCAACAGGATTACATTTGGATTGCCCCAGAATGTGTGTTTGTACTATCAGATAATCTAAATCAAACTTTTGAAAAAGTTGACAATACGTTTTAATGTTTTTCAGATGCTTTGGATTCTCATTCAGTTCCCCATCTACTAGTAATATCCAGATAGGTCGAATTTCTCTATCAGTCTTTAATATGTCGTTGTATTGAGAATCCAAAGTAAGCCTTTTGAGATCTTGCATATGTGTGATTAAAAACGTTCCAAGGGACCACTGTTGACATGCAAAAATGGCAAGCTGTCTGATTCATAATTCATCATTTAATTCATTTGGTTTAATCATAAGATAAACCGATAGAACTAACTTTTACTCACTTTCCGCAGGAAAATCATAGTGAACAGGTTTGTGAACTAATTGCAACGTGTGAAATATCCATCCTACAACAGGTACCCTAAGACCTATCTTCGCCTTGTTATCTTGAAAAATGACAACAGACTTATTAGCAAAGGTGGTAGCAAATTGTCTTGCATATTTAACAGATGTAAGACAGTAGTGACCATCAGGGTGGTCACGTATTTTAGTGTGTAAAAATGGATACTGCAACTCACGCTGGATGGTGGTGTGCCCTTGTGGCAATGGAATTAAATTGATGAAGTAGCAGGTAATTATTTAATGTGATTCACATCATGTAGACATTATAATTTTCTTCAAGGTTCTTGCGTAAGTTTTAATAATCTGCACTTTAATCACTTCTTTTCATCATTTATCATTAACTGCTCCAAACTCGATCGAATCATGGATATAATTGTGCAAATTTGGATGTTTGTAAAGAAGTGAAAGACAATCGGGTTTATCATATAGTATCACCTCCTAGTTTTTGATAAGTAGTTTTTTTTTCTTTGCATTTTTGAGCATAATTTGCATTTCATTTTAATTTAATAATCCTCTTCCTGTTAGATTTGATTTCATTTCGAAGATTCACTATTCTTGCATACATATCATGACAAATTTGAGAATCTGTTATAATACTATAGATTTGCTCAAATTCAATAAGTTTTTTCCTACTATTAATATCTCATCTGCTGCCTTTCTTTGAGTGAATTATTAATAGGAATTTCTATTACAGTATCTACTGAACGAATAGTTAGAAGACTAAAATGAGGAGTTGAATCTTCTCTAGGTATAAGACACCTTAGTCTCATTATTTATATGTTATATAGGTTATATAGCGTGGTCAGGTAATTCCTAATTATCTCATCAATTTCCAATTTACTCTTGTTTTTAATTTTATTTCATTCTTTTGTAGTTTCGTGACAAACATTATCTTGGTTAGTGATACCATTTCCAGTTTTAACCATAATACTATACACATAAGCATTGGTGAATTCTTGATACTTATTTGATAGTGAATTATATAGATCAATTTCTTATTAAACTTAAGGCCAAGTAAGAAGGTTTGACAACTTATTTTAACATTAGAAGTAGAATATTGACTTGCTTGTTTTATAAAAAGCTTTTAAAACAATTTTTTAGAACATGATTTTTTAAAACTCAATTTTTTTAGAATATGATTTTTTAGAACACAATTTTTTAGAATGTGATTTTTAGAACATTTTTTAAAGTATGATTTTCTAATTTTAGAACAGATTTTTGAATGAATTTAGAACTTAGAATTTTAGAACACTTGAAAATTTTTTATTTAAATTTTTTTTTAATCCATTTAATAATAAAAAAAATTTAATTATTATGATTTTATTTTTCGAATGTATTTGATATATTTTACTACAACTGATATATGGGTCAAAATGTACCTCTGTATTTAAAAATTTGATCAACATAAATTACTGTATATCTCAATTGAAATAACTTGATAATTTATTATGCTTTTATACTTCAAAAACCAAGTTGTATTTAGTCAAATATATTAAAATTTTTTTGGTAAGAAGGTCTCAAAGGTATCATGACCCATATGAATCCTGTAAAAGGAAATGATTTTTGTACATGTGATCAAAATATTTTACCTATGGGTGGGGGTAGATACTTATAATTAAATGATATTAGGTAATATATGTCACTGCCCTAACAAGATCAATTTTATATTAATCAATCATTCATCTGAAGTTTATGGGTTTTCTGATGCTTATGAGTGTATTGATAAGAATCTGCCTCTTCGTCTTGTTCTAAATATTGATATGAGGCAGAAGCCCAATCCCATGAATTCTGAACTCTCTTCTTTAAATGGATATAAAATTATTCATAATGATTTATTATTCAGAATCTTAATTGCCTGCACTGATATTTTATATTCTGATTTAAAATATCTCATAACTTTAAATGCTTTCACTTTAGCTAGTTCGCCTAATGATGATAAATGCAGTTAGCATATTGTATGTTCTGATGCCTACTTTATTGACTATAGAGATTTTAAAGGTTTAGTAAAAAAAATCGCTAATAAGGTTGGAAAATCATATTCTAAATTTATTGATATAGAACTTTATAAATCTTGTTTAACCTTTGTCTTCTTGGATTAGCAAAGAATGATAGAGTTAAAAGACCTGCAGTTTCTTCTATTAAAAAAAGGTATTGCAAACTAAAGGATTATTAGTTTAATTTAAGAATACTTCTGAAATCTGGCTTCAAACTTTTTTTTCTGAAAAGCCAAAAAAAAAGGAGTTTTGACCTATTGAAGATAAAACTGCCTTAAGCAATAAAGCTAATTTAGTAATAGTAAAATAGTAATAGCTTAAAATCGAAAAAGCTGAAAAAGAATTTATTACTTTTTATGCTAAATCATTTATAGAATGCTCTATTTGCAATATCAAACATAAAAGGAATCATTTATATGACTTTTTTCAAAAAGATAGATGTTTTATATTCAAATGCTATCGGCAAAAATAATATAAGCCAGACTATAAAGGTTTAGTATTTGGAGAAATAACTAAAATTCTTAAAATATCTAAACGAAAAATAGTTGAAAGAATAGCTAATGACTTATCAAATCTATCTCTACTTCCTGAACCATCTGAAAAAGCTATTAATATAAAGGAGATGAAAAATTTTCCAGAAACTTATCCTGACTTCTTGAATAAAAAGACCAATACAACTTTAATTTGCTCCTCTATGATGACAGAAAAAAACAAAAGGGTTAAAAAAATATCTTAATTCCTTAGCTAGAAATAAACCTAGTTTGTCTTGCATTGTTTGGATTTCTTACTGAAAAACTTTTAGTAATAAATTGCAGAGTAAAATTAATGATCTTAAATTATCTGAGCTTAAAATCTGTAATTATTAAGATGAATAAAACTTATCTATAGATAAGTGAAATATTATTATAGTCTAAGTTGAGAGTCTTTTTCATATAGAATTCTCAGCATGTTTAATTGTAGCTATTTTAGATGAAATCAATGCAATTAATCGCCAAATAAGTAATGATATAAATGTACGAGAATCTGAGAATGCTATACGTGATATATTAAAAAGCCTAATATATACCTATAATACCTTCAGAAATAAATCAACTTTAACCTTTCTTAAAGCTTATCACAATAAAAATATTAATTGATAATAAATTTCAACCTCATATAAGTAAAGCTATTAAATATCTTTATAATCCAAATAGTGAGGCTAAAGCTATATAAATAGGATATAAGTTATTATAGTAAGACAAGCATATGGTATTCACTCTAACAAGTTGCAGTATAGCCTAAGTATTAGCAGAAAAAGCCTCTAAATTGCAAAAACCTGATAATTCTTCTATTAAAGCCTATGCTTATTATAGGAATATAAATAGAAAATAATAAAAAAAGAATTTTTCAGATATAAATACCACTTGGGATGAACTTGATTGTGTAACTTATACAAGTACAATAGAAACAGGCATATCTTTTAAAAAAACTGATCATTTTGATGCAATTATAAAAATTATAAATATTGTAACTCCAGTTAATATTGAAGCCTTTATTCAGATGATATTTTGGATTCGTGATTATAAAAAGCACATACTATTCCTCTATTATTAAAAAAATTCTAATGAGCTTTTTCGCATACCAGGTTATAAAAATATTTGTGCTATACTTAAAAGTGCTAGGCCTAATAATTTGCTTACAGCAATAAGAAATCATTATGAATCTGATAAAAATATTGTATCATATAAACTTGATCAATTACCTGCTGTAATATCCCTCAAAGTTAAGTATCAGAAATGTCTTTCTATAAGAAATTTTATTGAAATATTATGTAGTTTTACAGCTATTACAAGTGCTTCTCTCTACTTTATAAAAATAGATAAAAGCTAAGAAGTTATAAGAAATCATAAAAGGATCTGTAATGAGGTTAGGTTTAAAGCATTAGTTATCAAGAAAACAGATTTTGATGCAATTGCTATTTTTTGGAACCTTGATCCTAAAGAAGCTGAAAATCTTAAGTTTGACCAAGAATGCTCTATCCCAGATACTATGACACTTAAACATTTTTATATGCGAAATATTTATAGTAGTAAAGATATGAATAATGAGATTTAGGATAATCTTTGCAATAAGAAGTTTGTAAAACATTTTAGCTCACCTGAATCTTAAAAAAATTTCTTGCAGTTATCTCACTTTTAAAAATAAGGCTATTAGGATTCCGCAATTCGATTTGATATTTGAATATTTGATTTGAAAATCAAATCAAATACAAATTCAAATTTATA